AGGATCACCTCCTTTGACCTGCTGGTCACACTCCTTTTGATGCAGCCCAGGATATGGTTGGCTTTCTGGGCTGTGAGCGCACACTGAAGCCGGCTCATGTTCATTTTCTCATCAACCAGCACCCCCAAGTCCTTCTCCGCAGGGCTGCTCTGAATCTCTTCTCTGCCCAACCTGTAGCTGTGCCTGGGATTGCTCCCACCCAGGTGCAGGACCTTGCACTTGGCATGGTTAAACCTCATGAGGTTGGCATCAGCCCACCTCACAAGCATGTCAAGGTCCCTCTGGATGGCATTCCTTCCCTCCAGCGTATCGACCGAACCACACAGCTTGGTGCCATCGGCAAACTTGCTGAGGGCGCACTCAATCCCACTGTCCATGTCAGCGAGAAAAACGTTGAACAAGACTGGTCCCAACACCGATCCCTGAGGGACACCACTCGTTACTGGTCTCCAGCCGGACATTGAGCCATTGACCACAACTCTTTGTGTGCGGCCATCCAGCCAGTTCTTTATCCACCGAGTGGTCCATCCATCAAATTGATGTCGCTCCAATTTAGAGACAAGGATGTCGTGTGGGGCAGTGTCGAACGCTTTGCACAAGTCCAGGTAGATGACATCAACTGCTCTACCCCTGTCCATCAGTTCTGTAGCCCCATCATAGAAGGCCACCAAATTGGTCAGGCAGGATTTCCCCTTAGTGAAGCCATGCTGGCTGTCATCAAGCACCTAGTTGATTTTCATGTGCCTTAGCATGCCTTCCAGGAGAATCTGCTCCAAGATTTTGCCAGGCACAGAGGTGAGACTGACTGGTCTGTAGTTCCCTGGGTCATCCATTTTCCCCTTCTTGAAAATGGGGTTATATTTCCCTTTTTCCAGTCATCCGGAACTTCACCTGACTGCCATGATCTTTCAAATATTGTGGACAGTGGCTTAGCAACTTCATTCCCCAGCTCCTTCAGGACCCGTGGATGGATCTCATCAGGACCCATGGACTTGTGCACGTTCAGATTTTTAAGATGGTCTTGAACCAGATCCTCTCCTACAGTGAGCCCAAGGTCTTCATTCTCACAGTCCCTGCATCTGCCTTCCAAGACTTGGGTGGTGTGGTCACAGCCTTTGCCAGTGAAGACCGAGGCAAAGAAGTCATTCAGAACCTCAGCCTTCTCCAAATCCAGGGTAACCAGTTGTCCTGATAGCTTCTGGAGGGGGCCCACATTGTCCCTAGTCTGTCTTTTATTTGCAGTGTACCTACAGAATCCCTTCCTGTTATCTTTCACATCCCTAGCCAAGTTTAATTCTAACTGGGCCTTAGCTTTCCTAACCTGGCCCCTAGCTTCCCAGACAACATCCCTGTATTCCTCCCAGGCCACCTGTCCTTGCATCCACTTATTATAAGCCTCTTTTTTCCTTCAAAGTTTCCTCAGCAGCTCCTTATCCATCCAAGGAGGTCTCCTGGCCCTCCTGCTGCACTTCCTTCTAGTTGAGATGCAACACTCCTGAGCTTGCAGCAGGTGATCCTTGTATATCAGCCAACAGTCTTGGGCCCCCCTGCCCTCTAGGGCTATTTCCCATGGAACCTTCCGAAGCAGGTTCCTGAAGAGGCCAAAGTCTGCTCTTTAACTTCCATGGCAGGAGGGTTGGAACTGGATGATTCTGAGGTCCTTTTCAACCCTAACTATTCTGTGATCCTACAGTAAAAACATTTTTCTAGGATAATTCAATAAAACCAGAGGAATTTTGTAGTAATTTACTGATAAAGACTTGAAGAGTTTGTGGCAGTGTTAACTATGCCCTATCAAATCTGTTTCAGCACAGTATCGAATAATGCCAAAACCTCCAACTATAAATCACACCTAGGTAAGAAATATATGAAGATATACATAGAATAGTATTAACTCAGACAGGACCAATAAAAATAGTTCACTTGACAAGGCTCAAAATAATCACTAATGACATGAGATGAGGTTCTTGGCACACAGTGGCTCCTACCTTATGTGTCACTCCAAACACATACATGTACTATGAAAAGATGGGAAATCATGTTGTGCCTTCATGCCATGAATCATAAAGGTTCCTTAGTCCAGCAATTTCTAATCTAGTTTATTTCAAGGCAGTTGCAATGTGTATTTGCTATTAATAAACAGCTTACAAACTGTATGTAGCAGATGATTACCAATTTCCATGCCAGTTATTACTGTAGATTCCTCATTTCTTTTAAATAAATTTCTCAATTGATTTTGCTTATAGATCATTCTTTGCTAATTGTCCAGTACTTCCACTGCGTTTTAGGAAGGCCTGAACCACAAGCTACCAATCCCAAAGTGTGCCTATAACAACTCTGAATACCAAGCAAGTTAAAATGTCCTCTTTTAACTTGTACTGGTACTCCCCAGAAGCATAAATATTGAAAACACACCAGGGCTTGCTGACTTGCCTGCCTCCAGGAGAACATCTGTATTCAGTCTGACTAATACTGAATTAAAAAGCAAAAATGTGGGATTACATATGTGAATACTGAATTATGGTCACCTGAAAAACACAAAAACGAATGAAAACAAACTGATCTAGGAATTTAAAGGACTGTACTGAAACGTAATCTTGTACTACTCTGCATAAAAACTCGGAGCATGAAAAAAGGCAAATCAGCCTGCAGATTGGAAATATTTCAAAGAAAGAGAGTCCCAAGGAACAGCACAGGATGTGATAATACCCTTGCAGCACTGCAGACATTTTCTAGGGCTTGAAAAGTTTGTGTTCCTATAAGCACTGATCCTTATGCAATCATGTTAATGATATTCAGACATATTTCAAACCTATCATGCCTCTGTTTACAGCTGCCACACTAGCACACACCTACAAGACACAGCACAAGTAAACACAGTTTATAAACAAACCTCCTCCTACACACAGAGTGTCTTTCCAGACAGGTACTTCCCTTTGGGTTTGGCTTTAGTCCAACAATGCAATGCCTTTCTGGGACTGATTAAAACTGCATGCAGCATTTATGGCCATTTGGAAGATCTTACCCTTTCCATCAAGTCAGCCCAGTTAAATACCTGCTTTCCCCAGCCCAAAGCAGCAGCAATCTCCCCTCTGGAGGAATCAAATCTTTTCCTTGACAAGGCCACACGCCCTGGGGGGCATGGAAGTGAAATGAGTCATTTAGGGACTACAGCCACATTGAGGTGAACACGCCCAGGACTCCTGGGAGGTCAGAGCAACTATACTTCCCCAGTGGGGCTACCAGGAGCTGGCATTATGGGCAAGTGCCCAAAACCCACCAGATTTTTGGGAGCGGCAGACACACACCAGAAAACATGGATATAGGCAGCCTCCACACACAAAATGTTTTGGTCCTTCTACTGTTATGCCGAGCAACAGGCTATAGTACCCAGGCCATTCTGGACACTGTGCAGCCTGGGATGCCCTAAGGAGCACTGTACAGAGACGCTCAAAGGCACAAAGTGAACGTTGAGGTGGCTGTATGGGGTTGGCTGTACCCATACAGTTCTTGACTTAACTCCAAAACCAAGACAAAAATATGGTGCAATGTGAAGATGAGGAAACCACAAGGCAGCCCCACTGATGCAGCAACAGTTGAAGGCAGGAGACAAGAATTAATTCAAAGCCTTTTACCTTTTTTTTTAAATTCTACAGTACAAAAGAAGAGAAATCAGAACATTTATTTTCACACATTTGTCCGTTCAGGAGTTAGTTATACTCAGCACTGTGGGGAAGAACATGCAAATCCCCCTACACTCAGATGAAAACATACCTTCATTTTTCATTTAAAAGGCAGCCCGTGTCAGAATGAGTATTAGTATAATAATAGGTGCTTAGATCAGATGCTCTTTACTGTAGAATTAGGTGAAGGTAAATTTTCCAAATTTATATGACTGGCTTTAGTACTGCAGCATAAATTACAAAACTTATCTATATTCCTTTCAGAAGAGTCAAGTGTTCTTTTTTTTCCTCCAATTTTATGCCATTGTCTTCAAAATAGAGAAGGGAAATGGAACCTTCTCATTGAAAGCAATTGAAAACTTCCCCTTAACTTCTGTAGTTAAAGGCTGCTTTGCTACTTTTGAGTAATGAATAAAAAAGCATTACTCTCAGGAGTATATAACTCACAGGCAAATGGTACAAAGCAGCCAGAAGCAGGAGCAGAGATGGCAGTGATTCCTCCCTCCCTGCCCTCCTCTCCTACTTCAGTTACCTACCAGTCAAAAGAGGCACTCAGTATGCATACAGCTGGTGCTAATTCCCTTTTCTGCTTGGATAATAATAACCCTTAGACCGATCTAGTGGATGCCTGTATTCTTTGGCAAGTTAATGACAGAGTGTTATTATTGACAAATTATATTTGAATATAGAAGATAATGCAGACAGGGACTGGATGTTAATCTGGCAGTTTGTTTTGAGTTTTAGTCCAGTGTAAAAGCTAGACAAAGCTGAGAGGCAGATAAGTCAATCAGGTCATGAAGAGAATCCAATGAGAAAACTGCCCTTCTGTTACCGAAAGGACAGCTCTTCCACAGGATATTGGTATCTCTTTAGCTTGTCTCCTCCACTGCAAGGCAGCTGAGTTAGCGATTAACCAGTGTGGGCACTGTGATATATAAAGCGATTAAGAAAGTGACACACTATTCCATCAAAAGAGAGAGAAAGAATGAATTGAATGAATGGTGGCAAATGATGGACGCACCAAAGAGGTCAGACAAGCAGGATAAAATGTCAAGACACAGCTGAATTTAAATGCAATGGTCACTTGGCAGGAAGCTGTCAGACCTCCCTGAACATGCCTCACAGTGACAAGGGATCTTCAACTACTTAGTGGATGCATTTCTCAGGCTATAGTATCTCATCAGAGAGGACGTTTAGAACGGGAGTGAACCAATCTCTACAACTGCCTGTTTATACTTCGATATGGATGACACTATTGATACTTCTCAGAGAACACAGTGAAGCAACAGAAAAAGCAGAAATCAGTACTGAGGGTACCTGTGCAAAATCCGCTGCAAGCCGCATCTTCCCACCTTCACCGAGGGGCCTTATTAGACTGGCATTGCGAATAAAAAGTTCAATTGCTCTTTGAGCCATGGCTTCAGTGTTATCAAAGACAAAGTCAAAACACTCAAAATGTCTGAAGTAGTCACTCATGACTCTTGCTATAAAACCCTGTAGTTCTTTCATGTACAGAGAACAAGGGACATCTGGTTTTCCCGGGCCGGATAATGATCTGAAAAAAAAAAAAAAAGAAAAGAAAAGAAATGGGGACAGCTAAATTCATCTTTAAAACACAACCAAAACCTACAGGAGTCTTTTCAATTTTTTTGCCTAGAAGTCACGTCATGAATTGTAGAGTCTCATTTTCTATTGAGTATAAAGAGCGCTGTAGCTCTCTCTGAAACTAGTCTCAAAATATCTATCAGCCATTCCCATCTTAACAAGATAAAGGAAATCACCCCACTCCTACCCAACTTGCAGAGCCTCCACCAGTTTGGAGCCTAATTCTGAGACCCAGCCCCTAGATTTAAATGTCCCAGTTGTTGATTTATAATAACGGAGGAGGAAACACAAGCATATGTCACAAGGTTACTAGTTGAGCCTATCCCAAACTTGTTCTCTGTATAGAATCAGTTTCCTTGATTCCTCCTAACCCAGTATTATAAAGTCAATCTAATTATCACAGAAGCAGCACCGAATCTCAGGGACACAGACATCAATCATTTTTATCTTTCTTTGAATCACAGTCAGACAAAAGAGCTCTTCCAAACTCAGAAGCCTAAGTGTACAGGCTGTCTAACAAAACTTAGCCTTTGGGTGGAATCAGAAACATGGAGAGAGTAAAATACTGTTAAAAGAAAAAAAAAAAGAAAAAAGGAAAATTTAAAACACCTCTGAAAATACACTACTTTCTGTAAATTTCCAAGACAGGAAACAGGACATCTGATAACGATCCAAGCAATGTCAGAACAGAGATAATAACCAAAATAACGCTCAGGAAGGAAGGCTCAGTTAAAGATAGGACTCAAGATCTTTGCAGATGAAGTATACTGGGAATTTTAATTAAAATGCTATGGGTAAACAGCCAAATGCACTAAATCTGAGCAGTCAACAGAAAAGATTTTTTGAAACATTTTGTATTCAATAATATGTTAGAAAAAAAAAAATGTGTAATTCTGAATCAGAGTTATATGCTTTATTTTGAGAGAGTTCTGAAGACTGTCCACAAAAAATAAGTTTTGAAAACAAAAGGGGGGTTTTAAGCAGTGCCTCTGCTTGGCTTTATTTTTCTATTTAAAGTGAATTTCTCTCAAATGCAAAACTTTATGGGAAAAAGAAAGGGGGTTGGGGAAGAAGACAGATGCCACCTGACTAACTTGTTTCAACAGCTAGGTGTAATTCTGCTTTCTCTGTTCCCTAACAACCATAAAGCATCACTTTACCCTTAACAAACAAGCGCTCTTCCTCCAAGGGCATTATGGCAATAACAATCTATTATGCATACCCAGGACATCTTATTACAGCAATGGTATGTTTAAAAAAAATCTTTCTAGTTACCCAGAAAAATCTTCCTGGTGCATAGTGATGATAATAGCTTCTACTGAATCTCCTACAGAGTTCAGTAATGGCTGAACAGCACTACCCATTAGATCATGGACTGCCTAAAATAGGATAAGAAAAAGGCAGAAGTAAGGAAACAGAAATTGGAAGCATTTAAATTTTGACACCTCAAAAATACCCTGACAAACAGCTCTTTTTAACAGCGCTTTTTATTATTCCGCATTAGAAACTGCTAGATAGGACAAAAGCTTAAGACAACCTTTCCCTTTAATTGATTTTACCAGTAAAGTACAGAGATAAGGCTGTTTACTACACCTATGTAAAGCCTTCCTTCAAAGGTGCACAACAATCTGGCATTCCTGATTTGTAAATGTACATGTTTTGATGCACAAAAACATGTGCATGAACGTTCAGCTGTTCATTCCCCAGACACTCAAGCTGCCCTTCATTCCTCTGCACACAACCCCTCCCAGAGTAGTGCACAGCAGGATGGATGTGGATAGCTGTCATCCACAGAGGGCTGCACGGCCAGCCACATCACCCCCCAGAAAAGCACCAGGTAGCATATAAATCATAATCCTATGTGTGGGTCAGGGTGGGTAAAGGGGTGATGAAGGATCCAGTTATTGCTGAGTGAATGCTGCAGAGAAAGGCATTTATTTTCACAGTCCGACCATTACAAGAATATTCTTGAATACAAACGCTACTCGAGCAGTGATTTTGGCACACACAACATATATGTAGCTGCAGATACAACAAAATACAAATTTCTGAATATTTGTATACTTGTGACTAACATACACTGACACACAATTAACACCTGGGAAAATAAGTGACTGTTTTAAGTATAACAGGCAAAGCAAAACTCAGCTCTATCCCTGAAGCATATGGACATTCAATTACCTTTAAGGCAGTTGTGACTGTTTGCTCAGCAGCTGCTGGAAATGAGCTTTGATTGGTAATGACCTACAAATTTTAAAGTAATTGTTAATAGTCAACATTCAACAAATTATTAGAATCCATAATATTTAATCTTATTTTAAAACATACCAAGTTATCTTTAGTAATGAGTGGTTTACATAGGTTTAGATAACTGTCAAATGGGCTTTATACAAACAGAATTTTCAAGGCAGCCATATCAGGCCTTTGCACTCAAATTTCCTATGGGCTCTTCTTCTGCTTTCACAAAGGAATGATTCAGTTGAGTTCAACTGAAATTTAGCTGAAGGGTCAACAGGACCTGAATGAAAATTAGTGGTGTTTTCTCCCACTGTGAAGTATAGAATTGATGGAGAACTATACAAGCAGCTCCACAGCAAATATTTGAAAGAATGGTTGTTCTTTCTCAGTATTTTGACTATTATAATACCACTTGCTAAACAGCTGTTTATGTACAGCTATGATATTAGAATTAAAACTCAAAGAATGATCTAAAGGAATATCCTACCAATTTCCTTACAGTTATGAACATGCCACACAATAGTATTTTTAAGCCAGATAAATACTGAAATCAAAGACTGAATCATATCAGATCTCCCTCCAACACTCAGGCACATGAGGTTCATTACTAAATACATCAGAGAAAGCAGACTTAAAAGTTGATCTACCATCTGTTTGCAAAATCCAAGCAAATTTTATAGGCTTTTCAGCATTTTTAAACATTCTTTAAACATGTTCACAGTCAAGAGTACTCATGATCTTTTTTTTTTCTAATCAGGCTAGGATTTAAACACAATTAACTACACTATAACCACTGTATCTGTTTGCTTTAATTTACAGATCACTAAATTTGGCATCACTAAACCAGTAAACTGGAATTATTCATAACTGTGCTTATTCCTGAAAACAATGCCAGGCCAGACTTTGGTAACAGGAACAATGGATGGCGATATTTGGGATGTGCTGCTTTTCTTGATTTCACACTTTCCTTCCCCTTTTCAGTTTGGCCACAACTCTGGGAAAGCAGTGAGGGTCTTCTGAGAAAGATAAGCTTAGGCTGGGACAAGTGTTATCAGGCTGATCAGAACAAAGACAGAGCTTACTTGATAAGGAAAACATAAAGAGCCCAGTTGTTCAGATTCACAAAACAGTGGCTGTGAAATGTGATTCTTCTCTATAAACTTATCTTTCACTCCTAATACTAACAATTTATCACAAAGTTAAGTCCAACCAATTCTCATCAGCTAATGGGAGAATATGCATACAACACAGCAAAGAAGTTAACCTTACAGCAAGAAAAGAAATACCAAGGAAGCCTACCTTCAGAACCGACTGGTGCAGTTTGTATAGAGAATTAACTACAGCCACGTTCCTCCTCTGCCCCTCTGTGAGTGGTCCAATCACCTGGCTGGCATCTCCTTGCGTAGACAGCTGCAGTAATTGTGGAAGTTGTTAGAACAGTACCGACTCTTTAAAGAGTGCATCACCACAAAATTATACTTAACTAAACTTAGACCATGGCTGAAAGCTATAGGTCTTCCATAGCAATGTTCTTCCATTTAACTCTTGTCTTGATTCAAATTATTTTCAGCTCCAGATAATACAAACTGAACAACAGGTACAAGAACCACGAGACTGCTGTCTCAGCTCCCAAACCACATTGCTCAGACCCAGATCTTTTAGAGATCCTTGGTCCCGGCATAACTTCAACATTATAATCAAAGAGTCAGCTGAAGTCACCTACCCGAGGATGTAGTATAAACTAGCAGCAGCAGAACTGAATAGGGTATGCTTTCCTATATACCCTCAGTCCTTACTTCTGACAACTATTCAAGCATATCCTTAGAAACACTGTTTCTTTAAATAGATGGCTTACAGGTTTGTACATATTAGTGGCTTGTAAATGAACACAAAGATAGAACTGCGAGGACTAAAATTGCTAATCCTGTCATTAAAAAGAGTTTAATCCATGAATCTTCAAGCAAAAATAAACTAAAAAAAGGGTATTTCTTCATATTTAGACTCCATAAAGCCTGCATTTTTTATCATTACCACAGAAATCAAAGTTCCAGACTGATACATAAATAGCAATTAACTACAGAACAGTCCCGTAAGGATACCACAGCATATGTTTATAATTTAAAATAAAATAAATTCTAATTGGGAAAGAAATGGAAATTTTCTTGTGCACTGAAAGCTGCAGAAGCACAAAGAATTGACAAAAGGCTATGTGAATTCTAGAAGTATGCCTAAATATTACAGCAAGAATAGCTATTAATAGAAGGCTTTACAGAGAGATATGACTAGTTATCTATATTTCAGATACAAAATTAGCCTCCAGTAGACTCCTGAAGATGCCTAGCTCCAGAATTCTCTCAGTGAAAATACATTCAACTCAGTGAATAAGTCATTAAGTGACTTTCATGAAGTGTGTCTTTAAACACAGCTGTAGGTCCTACAGAAAACTCCTAAACTAAAATTAAATATACACTAATAATTGTTTAGAACAAAAGAACAAACATTACATAAAATTTTTTAAGTTATGAGAAACAGTGAATCTTTAATAGTGAAAAACTATTCCTGAACTTCCCACAGCTTCCATTCAGCACAGACACAGAGACCACAAAAGCAAAGTTATCTAGTATTTGCCAGCACTGCTAATAATGAAGTTTTAGACAAGTTTGTGCAGCAGATGGGAACTCAAACTTATTCACAACACTATGGTGATAATATCAGTTCATTTCCCTGGGTTTATTTCAGGATAAATAGGTTTCTGAGGCCTTTCAGAGGGAAAAATCCTTTCCAACCTATCTTTAATTATTTTACATCAGAACGCATCTTTAAACTAGCTGACAAATATATCATCTCAGCATCTTCCTGCTTCCTGATGAGAACAGCCACGTGAGCTACATACATCTGTGTTTCCTTCCTGACATTTCTATTTGACAGACCTAACTGGTCCTAAGAATTCTGCTTCTCATGCTTACAGCTTCACAGACTGGTAACAAAACAGTTATGCACGCAAACAGCCTGTCCACCCAGCTGACCATCCTCTCAGACACAAATAACATTTTTTCCCCATACCTTTTTTAAGCACTGTATGGACTATTCATGTGTATTTTTGCACATTTAAAACTAGTTAACATAAAAGACATTAGTAAGACAGTAAAACTTTACATCCTTGTCACTTTCAGTTCCTCAAAGTCTATTGTAAAGGTTTCACAACTTCCTCTTCTCAGATGTTATGACAGTTTCTTAGACATTAGACTGTGTCTCTTCTGCTCGTGAAAAAGCTTAAATGATATCTAAAACCAGTAACAAGGGCAAACAAAACCCTTCTGCAGCAACAAGCAACTCTCACAGTCAGCAATAATGCACAACAGCTTCACAGGCAAAGTCTAAAAATGCCTTAAAAGCAACCATTTCTAAACAATTTCTAAAACTGTTTGCCATATTATATTCCCTTAAATTAATCAAACTGAACTTTGACAACCAGACGCGTTGATTGCTTGTTTATCATAAAATCACTGGTCCCAAACAAACAGGCTTGGAAAACTTGTAACGAGTAGCAGGAACTGGGCAGCACAGGGCTCCCTAGGACCACTTCCTCTGAAAGTGTGTCATGAGAACACCTGGTACTTAACGGGTAGGGGTGCCCTACCATCATGGGAACACGTGGTACCTAAATGGGTCGGTGTGCCCCACCATCTACAGAAGAAGTCTCAGGTGGTGGTTCCCATCTCTTGCTGCCACCACAATGATTTCTATGACCTTGCCTTGAGGCAAGAAGGTTCTGCACTGACTGTGTCCAACAAGGTTCATGTACATACACTTTGTCACTGCCATGTACCTGGATTTCGGGTAGTTTATCATTAATCCAATATTTCAATGCCTCAGACTGAATTCTTGACACCTCTATTGTACAATCATGCATCCAGGTAGGAAAATGCTATTGTTATGTCTCCCCAGTTCCAACAAACCATGCTTATGCTGGCCCATTTAATTTAGACACAAATCACCCCTCAGTTTATCTTCCATCACACCAGGTTTTATCAATGATACACATTCATCACTCTTATTTATACAGCAAGTACTTTTGAAGTTCAGTGCAGAACACAGCTTATGTATTTAAGCCCAGTGGTAATGTAACTCTCCTGTTATCTGCCCACTGGGGATTGCACTATGAAAATAGGTTAAGTCAAGTAAGCGTGAAGCCTAACCACATCCACTCAGATGAAAGACAGAGTCAAAGGGCCTTCTTTTTTATGAGGGCACTAGAGACAAAATGTGGTGTCTTTTTAATCAGTTCGATTTATCCAGAAATGTAGAAGGCCAGATGGGTGAATTCATGCTCAGCAGAAACGGGGAAGACAGCAGGGGTGACAATCCAAAATCAGAATCTATTTTGGGAAAGAAACAATTAAGAGACAAAGCGTAGCTGAAGGACCAGATCCCCATCTCTAGGGAACTGTCAGTCACTCTGCGAGTTAGTCTGGCTTGAGGCTGCTAACTGAAAACAGGAAAATAAGCCCTGCTGAAGCCAGACCTGAATAAGCAGTAAGAACAAGGACTGTAACTGTTCCACTTTTCTGTATTTGTCTTTAAGTATAGCAATTGATTTCTTACACTCTTCACTTTAGTTGGGTAAACTGCTTCTGCTTTTACCTCAAACCCTGCCTACTATTAACAACACCCATGAGCAGCAAAGCACAGGCACCCTATGCCCCAGGCAAGCAGCAATTTTACAATGGGTTACATGTGTACGAGCTCCCTTTGCCAACATCAGTTACCAGCACTCCTTTGCATAGACCTGATTTGGAAATATGTCTTGAAAATAACTAGATCTGGATTTTACATTTTCTATGTTTAATACCTAAGTACAGACATACAATTTGACAGCATGAATTGGATCTCACATGTTGAGACATGTGCTGTGATGAGATTCCTTTGGGTTTAAATTCTTGTTTTCACCATGAAGCAGGGAATGCAGAATTTAGATTGGGATGTGCATCAAGAGATCAGTTCTCCCTTGAGTTATAAAAACCCACTAACTGAGTTTGTCTTTTTCTTGTAGAAAAGCTCAGACTATTGATACATCTTTTCCTATAATTTGTTTAGTGTTTCAAAGTTTCTAACTTCCCCTCTTCCAACAGGTGGTAGCTCAGAGGAGACACTGATTTGTGAGCTGGTTTGTTACCATTCCCTTCACAGACTAAACATTCTGTGAAAAAGCTCTGTTTCACACTAAGTAACTGAGATCATGTGTGCATCCCTATTGACAGTTTTGGAGAACTCCATTTATGCTCTACTCCAAAACAGCCTCAGCAAACCCACTCTCTAAAAAGCAGGAATTAGCATCATAATTTAAGAGTACAGAGAAGATCTTAAATCAAAGTAAGACAAAAGTAGCGCTGCTCTAACTCTAGTATCACGAGACTAATGTGTTTTGATAGCACAAATTGAACTCCAATTGTCAAGCTGACATTTGCAAGAATAAATACATTCCTAATAGAGGCAGCTGATGTGGCCATACCTCTGGCAGAAAGCAATCAATCCATCTGGTACCTGGCCTCCTGCCTGATCATAACAACTTAAAAAGCACATAATCCATTTACAGAATTTCTGAGTCAATAGGGCTTGGCCCTGGGATTTATCCCATAAGCTACAAATAATTGGGATGATTTACTGTTAGGTTTAATGCTTTCCATATGGCAGAAGGATTCTTTCACAACCTCTTTCCACCTAAGAAACACAAATTTTACTAGAATCAGTTTCCTATTTTTTTGTAAAAACATGACACTGTCAGCAGAAAAATACCTCACAGTGTGAACTCCACTGGCTGTGTCACCTATTGGCTATTTAGAGGACAATCTGCAAAAAGAAGAGTCATAATTTAGAGGTTCAAAGTGTAGGATTTGAATGAATGTGTTGGGGCAAATGACGTCCTTGACTGAGGCAGATAAAATAAAACCAATATTCTGCCTTAAAAAGAAACCCAAACCACCAAAATCAAACAAACACACAAAAATCCCACAACAAACAAACAAACAAAGAAAATCAACTAAAATTTAAGAATTTAAGAATAAGTCATAAATAAGAATTTATGTATTTGGAATGACTTGTAATATTTGCAAGAAGAAGAAATATTTCAATACATGAGGAAAGCTGTGAACTCAGGCAATAACCTAATATGTACATAAGCCCATATATATTGCACTATATTGCACCCTCAGGGCATTCTTATAGCTTCCAGAATATCTTTTTTCTTTTTTTTTAATTTTGTACTGTAGAAAAGGAGCTTCATGGTGAAGCTTTGGTCAAAATTTTTTACCAAATGCTCCCATTATTTTGGGAAGAAAAATTTGAGGGGACTGTTAAGTCCTTGACCAAGAAAAAAGACCAAACATCATGGTCACACTATTCATGCTAGA